TTACCTGAAATGGACCCGTGGGAAGACCACTGCTACTGCTTTCCTGTTGCAGGGAAGAGTGGTGCCTGGGACAAAGGAAGGGGAAGCTCTGTAGCTGGTAGCAACATCTCTGCTACTGCCAGGGGTGCAAGTCTGCTGTACTGGGGTGGGGGGACTCTGTTAATGCCTGTCTGTGGCAGGTTTAAAGAGTCTGCTTGGGTACTGTTGAGATGTTGATAGTACCCTTTGGGAGGGAAGCGAATAAGTAGGAATGCAGCGTTTGAACAAGTTGGGAGGTCTTTGGAGGCAGTGCAAATTGCTGTTTTGCTCAAAATGCAGTGTTGTGTTGGCTTTCTGCAGGTTCAGTGTCAGTCTGGTTCATTAGTGTGTTATGTGGTTGGGGTATAAAGCTATGTGGACACATCCTCAGGCCCTTTCCCACTGTGCTGGATTTATGTCCCAACTGATGCCATTTGACAAGACTGAAATTAATAATCTGTACTACTGATTTTTGGGTTATCCCTGTGTATCATAAATTTGTGTAGCCTTTGCAGAATGGATAGGGAAAGGCCGATGTTAGTTTTTAGTATTGTGGGGTATGTGTCCAGTAAAGAGAGAATTGTGTCTACTTGAGCTGTGGCTGAATTTGGCTTCCAGTAAGATTACAGTCTAATAACTTAAAAGTGTAGATGCAGAGCTATGTGAACGACTGGCACTATTTTGGAGGTGAAGGGGGAAAGAATAGAAAAAGGGGAGAGGAGGAGAAGGGAATATTGTGATTGGTTTTATATGTAGTACCTCTGTTTTTAAAACACTGTGAAAGCTGTGAATGTCTGAAGACACAATGTTGTTCTTACGCTGGTGCTGGTGTTTTTTCTATGCAGTATTTGTAACTGTACCCTTTGGAACTCTAGTCATAGGCTGCAGAACAATGAATTGCTAATTGCACCAATTATGTATCTTTAACTCTTGTTTTTTTACTTGTGTCTTGTAGATAGCATGATAGGAAGCCAGAAACGCCCAGTAACTTCTTGATGGATCGCTTCCTTTTAAATATTCTTTACATTAGCTGAAATAACAAGCTAATGAATAGTTGATTGGTAATAATTTGTACTGAGCAGCCCCACCTTTCACGCACAATTCAGTTTTGTAACCAGCATTGAAGGAATAATTATACTAAGTCATATAAAAATTAAGCTGTGAATTTAAAAGAAAAGTCTATATAAAAGCATTAAGATTTCTAGTGTCTTGCATTCTCTGTCTTTACATTGTAGCTATGAATGTGTTAAAGTTCATAACTTTGGCACAGAGTAATCTAATAATTCATCAGGCCACTTGCAGAGCGTCAGGATTTTTGAGTGTATATAAAGCCTGTCTGTAACTTTTCTCATTTTTATTTTTTTTTTTTTCAACAGACCTACTGGCTTACATTTCCACACCAAATACAGAGGTCTTCTGGAGGAGTAGGAATTCCACACTGCAGCATGCTTTATATAATTGAGAAATTTAAAAATAAATTTCTTCAGTGTTTCAGTCTGCTTGTGGCCTTTCACGTTGGTGTTGCCTCGCTGTGCAGGACTTTGAAAGCAGCTGTATTAACAAAATATACAGGAGAAAAAGAACAAAAGTAGCAGAATTTTTAAAAAAAAAAAAAAAAAAAAAAAAGATAAAAGAAGGCAGCAGCAGTGTCATGACCAGGAGCATACTGTAGTCTACTACATGACTACTACATACTGTAGTCAGTATGTGTGGAGGCCTGTAGCATTAAAAGCAAAGCTCATCTAAACAGTCTTCTTGTATCTATCACTGATTAGCAATTCTCTGTGTCATCACCATTTAATTTTACCTAGTGAATTATCTTTATTGCTTGGGGTTAAAGTTTTTAGACAATGAGAAGAGAAATGGCACACCTTGAAAAATAAACACTTTCCTCTTGGGGCTAGGCCTGCATAAAGGTGAGGTGATCCCACAGTAAGTCTCTAACAAGAAATGCCAGGTTTTACGTGGCAGGCACACTGAACATTGTTTCCCAGGACTTCCAAGTGAGGACTGGCACCTAGTTTGGTTCCTGCTCTATTGTTGTAAGCATGCCTATTTTAAAATGCATCCAGTTCTCCTCCACCAGAGAAGCTGGTGAACCAGGAAGAGGTACCGTGACAAGTGGTTATAACTATGCAAAGTCTGGTAGTATATTAAATGCAGAACAGCAGAGTTGGATTCCTTGTTGAACTGAAGCGAGGGTGATCGAATGTTGGAACAGGTTGCCTGGGGAGGCTGTGGAATCTCCATCCTTGGAGATATCCAAGACTCAGTTGGATGTGGTCCTGCGCAACCTGATCTAGTTAGACGTGCTTTGAGCTGGGATTGTGCTTGATGGCCTCCAGAGGTTCCTTCCAACCTGAATTATTATTTGATGCTGTGAATGGGCAGTTTGTACCTGGGAGCTAGTGTGCCACAGGAGTGTCTTCCTGCTGGCTATGCCCATGGAGTATATAATCCCCGTTTCTGCCCTCCAAGTGGAAGGCAAGCACATTTAGTGTTCCTGTTTGTTCCACAAACTTGCAAATGACTGGTTTTAATCTGAAACTTTAAACACCCGCGTGATTAGTACATTTCATAGACAGCAAGAGGCTTTTGTTTGTATGAATTCTTAGATTTGTAATGTGAGAACAATGCACGCGCCTGCAGAGGAAAAGCATACCTCTTTGTTCCCCGTTCCTTCTGTTCTGCTGCACTGAGAGTGGCTGAGACTGGCCTGAGGTCTGGAAAATAACTGTAACAACAAAAGTGAGGAATGGAGAGTATGTTTGTGCTTATCCTTTTCTAGTTGTTGCAATATAAAATCCGCTCATTTTGCAGATGAAACGAAAGGTGCCCCCCTTCACACACACTAATTGCCAGCTCTCTAAACCTCCTAGGAATTTCCATTTTATTTGGCTCATGTCATCCTCAGCAGTGGAGGTTTTGTAATTGGAATTTACTTAAAGTTTTGTCATATCTGTAAGCCAGAATAACACTTTCCTTGTTCTACATTTCCGTTTGTGTAGTTCAGATATCAGCAGGGAACAGTAGCAATTTGCGTTGATTAGAATTCACTCCAAGTGTGTGTGTGACTGCCACAGAAATTGCCTCTTCTCAGTGGTTTGTGGAAGTCCAGCAGGGCACTCGGACCCTGTGGTATGGGGCACCGTGCAGGGAGTACAGGATGGGTTGAGATTGCAGTGTCTTCGATGGGGGGACTCTTTCCTGGCTAAGGTAATGTTTAACGGTGGGGTTTGGTTTGGGTTTTCTTAATACATATGTCTGGGTTTATTTGAGTGGTCTTCTTAGAAGGTTGTGGTCAGGAACACATCTGTAAACTTCAATTAACATAAACTTTTTTTATAATGGGAAATTCTGAACAGCCCTAATGACATTGGCAAGGGCATGAAACTGAACTGATGAGTAATTTTTGTTGACAGGTTTTTAACTGAAATGACAGTCAAGCTGGACTCGCAAGTGTACTAACGCTATTTTTCTAAGCTGATACCAAACACCTTTATCTGAGTGTGCGGTAACTTTAGTTGATTTTATTGTGCGTAACTTGCTGTATTAATGGGAGGTAAAGAATTTGCTGCTTATTTCACTGTGGAGTACCACATAGTCTTCCTCCCTTCTGTTGAGAAATCTACAATAATCTTACGGGGATAGGAAAGATAAAGGAGGCAACATAAGTGTATTCAGATGTCTTCCATTTTTTTCAGACACCTGCAACAAATACACCAGCATTTTCAACTTCCTTTACGTTTAGTTTCTGTAGGCTAGAACTTGTTGGACTTTGGTCTTTTGAGGACTTCTACTAATTATAGTGGAGTAAATAAAATGATTAAATACAAATTCTGCAGATTAGAACAGCCTTGCAAATCTTCTTGAGAGTTACTTTATTCAGAAACTAGAGTTGCGCAAGGCAGTATGCAAAACAAGATATTTGGAAGAATTTTTGGCATATGCTTTATGCGTACCCTGAAGTGCTCTGAAATTTACTGCAAATCAATGAAGAGATTGTGCTCTCAGGTTGGTCTCCCATCTGTCTTTGTTCCAGAGCGCTGCCCCATAGGATTTCACACTTATGCCCTAACGAAGAGATGAGGCGTAATTTCCCCTTAAATCTTGTGTTCTAGAGCAGGGTTTTGCTTCCTGCACATGCCGACGGACGATGGCCGCCCTGTGGAGGTGCCAGAGTGGATGGGAGGTGCCTGTGGTGGTGTGCTGGGGGCCTTGCCTCTCCTTGGCCCCGCTGCTCTCTCTGCAGCCCTCTGTGCGTGGAGCAGCCCTTGTGTAAAGCCCAGGCTAGGAAATCCTGCAGAGCTTGTTACCCCGGGCTTTGCTCTTCTCGGGGCTTTGCCTTTGAAGACATGCCTCAGCAGTTACAGGCTGATGCTTGGGGGGGGTGTCCTGCTGTAATTTCCCTTTTTTAAAAAAAGTATGTTTTCACACACAAAAATGGTGAACTATTGTGGCTCTTTGTTGATGGAGAAGTGTATGCCTAGGCTGTATTTCAGACTTGTTTCCTGCAGAGCTGGCAACTGTATGCCATACATAGTTCATTTTACACATAGATGTTTCTTATCTGCAGGACAGTTCCTAGGAACCACATGCAAAAATGGAAGATAACTGTGCTTCTGTTTGTTACAAGTCTGTTGTTGCGTATTTGTTTGAAATTTTTGTCAGGGCTTCAGTTTGAAGCAGAAAGCCCTGCCTTCTCAAACCCTGAGGGGTGGAAGTGCTAGTTAGGCGAGACCTTTGCATTTTTTTGTTTGTCAGCAGTTAAATAGTTAATTGCTATTTGTATTCTTATCTTTGTAGTTCATAATTAATAGACCACTGGATTAAAGAGGATAGTGAAGACTGTGTTTGTTTCATTTGACTGGCGTATTGACAAATTTCATTTATAACCAGGAAAGTCACAGGCTTAAAGTTGTTCTCTTTCATGATTTTGTCCTGTCCCCCACCTCCTCCTCTGCAAATTATTTGATACCTGTAGGTGTAACTTGCCAATGCTGGTAAGAAACCTTAACATCTTTGAATATGTAAGTTCTGTTATAATAATAAGTTATGTAAATTATAAATAATGCTTTCTTAAATCTAAATCTAAATTTGCTGTTGAGTGTTTTCTCTTTTTATGAAAATACTGAGTGTTAAATTCTGAAAATAAAATATAGCTCTGAAGTGTATGCTTAGGTGCTTTCCTGTTTTGACCTCCAAAGTGACCAATATGATGCTTTTTTTTTTAAAGCCAGGGCTGCCATGCTGCTGTTGCTTTGCGACGTGCTGTAATTTGGAAAAGTCAAATGTTGCGTTTTCTCTTGACAGAAAATTTTTAAAGCCGGAGATACTAACCAGGATGGACAGCTGGATTTTGAAGAATTTATGCAGTATCTTAAAGATCATGAGAAAAAAATGAAACTGGCATTTAAGAGCTTGGACAAAAACAATGATGGTATGCTTTGATTTATTTTATTTGTTCAAGTGTTGTTTGAAGAAACTGTGCGTTAAAAGTTATCTTCATTTATATTCTTTGTCTAAACTGCAGACAAAAAGTTGTGAATGTGGAACCCCCACTTCTTTTCCTTAATGGGATCTTAATTACAGTTTACTATAGATTGCATAATAAATTGTTAGAGTCTTTTTTTTTTTTTCTTTCTGTTATCTTCCAGGTCCATTGATCTGGGACTCTTTGTTCCCCAGATGGAGAAACTATAAGGAAGTTTCTAAGTGTCTGTTAAAGATAAAATAGTTTTTAACTCGCTGAATGTTTGCATCTCATTTGGCTGCATGATTTTAATGTACTTACCTTCGCTCAGTCCTTGTAGTAAAATACATCATCTGTGTTTAAATTGATTTAAAATTATCTTTACTGTTACGTAGGTGGTACAGTGGAACTTAGTGACCTCCAAGGTGCTGAGTGTATTAAGCTCCGTGTTTTAAATATGTATCATCTTTCTTTTAATGTTTCAAGGAAAAATTGAAGCATCAGAAGTTGTCCAGTCCCTCAAGATATTGGGTATAAGCATTTCAGAAAAACAGGCAGAAAAGATTCTGCAGAGGTCAGGAATTATTATTTCTTAAAGTGTTTTAAGCTTCTTTGTATTGTTGTTTTATTATATTTTTATAATTCAAAGAACAAGATAAATGGGATTATAATGTTGGAACGTGTTGGTACCTTCAGTGGTGCCATTGTAGGAATTCTCGCATATTCCATCTGTTCTTGGGTGATAGTAAGTCTAGTCACTATCTGAGCATCTGGTTCTCGGGGGGAATGTTATCTCACTTCCCTGTAGATGTTGTTGACAGAATGAAGCATTGTATTATGTTTTTAAATGGAATATGCCAGATGCACTTGGATAAGAAAACCATAGTATTGAAAGGCCATGGCAGATTGAGTCTTGAAGTCTCCATGTGGAATTTACAGTCAGTTGTCATGATATGATGGCCAATATTTAAAAAAAAAAAAAGGCAACAAAACCCATCTCTGCTACTATTTCCTTATCTGGTTTTGTTCAATTTCTTTTCAGTATTGATGCTGATGGCACAATGACAGTAGACTGGAATGAGTGGAGAGATCATTTTATGTTTAACCCGGCTACAGACATTGAGGAAATAATTCGATACTGGAAACATTCCACTGTAAGTTTAACTTTTCTTTTAACTTAGTGCGGCTTTTAAGTTCATCTCTGCTGGGTTAATTTGCAATACTGAGTATAACAGCTTCATGGTTGTATTTCAAGCGTACCTGTATTTAAGCTTGTTGGGTTTTCCTTTTCACTTTGTGCTCTCCCATTTGCAAACAGGATAGTGTGATGTGAGTTTCTTCTGAACCAAGAACTTCATCCAAACTTTGGCAATAATTACTAGTAATTCTTAGGAAGGAATCCTCTTCTTCCTTCAGAGGTATTCCACAGAAAGATAATAACCACAATATTAAATCTTCTTGTTTTCATGTTACAGTACATTTCTACGTTCAGTGCTTTTGATGTGTTGAAACAAGTTACAGAAACATTTTAACTGTTTCGTATGTTGAAATTAGTTCAGTATTTATATTCATATAGTAATATTATCATTATCATAAAATCACTGGTGTCATTAGTGATGATTTTCTGTGCACATGTTCTCGCACTCTTTTGTGCTATAGAATTTCATTTAAGAATGACAGAATATACAGCGATAGGCTATCCACTGTGCAGCTACATTTTTTTAAGTTACTATTGAATGGAGCTCTCGTCATCTTGGTGACTGACTTTTAAGAATAAATAATAAGGTAAGTAAACCAATAGTAATCCCCTCTGCTAAATATCCTTCCTGTAGATTATTGGAGTAATCCATGAATTTAGGTAAAGACAGATTTCTTTGAATATAGTGAGACCATTTATATCTTCAGGGATTAGTCAGCATTTCTGTAATAAAAAAACAAGTTTACGAGATCTGAAAGCTTTGAGTGTTTTGCACTGTACAACCTCAATTCAGAAATGCTTGCCAAAAGGGAGTTAGCTCTGCTTGCTGAAGAAAACACTTGAAGCGCTGCTATGAGATCAGATAGTCCTGGTCCCAGCTTACTTAGTGGAAAAAAAACCCTTTTGCTTTAATAAAAGGCTTCATATTACTATTCTTAAACATAAGATCTGTAATTTTTTTTCACTATGGAATATCGTTAGTTACCCCCAAGAAACAATTTTAGAAGTGTCCTGTGATCTTCCAGCGTTGCCGTCAGCTGATGACCCAGTTATCACAGCAAGCAAAATCCAGCTATACAGCAACACAGGTGGTGTTCCAGATAAGTGCAGATGTGACACCTCGAACGCCTGGCTGGCACTGACGGCTCTTCCAATTCTGTTTGTGTTGTAAAATTTTAATTGCTGTCAGACTCTTCCAAGTTCAGCTTTTTTTCTTAGTTGTGTTTAGGGCTTGGTAGACACAAGGTTTAAACCTTGGCAGATATGCATGATATCTCTAAGAACATTGAATTTATATTTTGAGAGTTCTGGTTGATCTTTTGGTGACTCCATGTAGTTGAGCAACTGATGACACCTTACTTGGAAACCACAAATGTCAGAAAGATGAAAGGATTTTTCAATTAATCTGTTCTGTGTTCAATATCCAGAATAGTTGGTGCCTATCTTGTTGTTTGAGTGGCTATATCTATATTCTGCATCCAGCAATTCTTGTGTTCCAAATGACCAAGACAGTATTCTTTCTCCTTAGCAGGTAGGGAATGCAGCATAAACTAGGGATGTAGTGTCTACATTTAAAATCAACAGGAGTTAAAAATGTTTGTCAGTTAACATGCTTTCTGGTTGGTACTTATCAGGCATTAAAACATACTTGCTTCTTTATCAGTTTAAATTATTCATAATACTGGCTTTGTGTTATCTACAGTGTATTTTTTCTCATATATCATGGTTATAAATTACATGAAGAGCAGAGACTATGTTTAAGTGATATGTGAGCTTCCATAGTCTTATGTCTTGGACAGCTTTATCGCTAACGCCTATAGTAATGTTGTTCTTTCATCAAATTGAATGGTAGTACAAACATGCACGTCTTAATGAAACTTTGATAAGAAAATTTATAAAGCATTAGTCAAACTTGTAATTTTGTAAGATAATACTCAGCAGTTACCAGAAATAGAATATTCCAATATATCGGCTATAAAAATTCTACTTTAAAATAGGGGCGGTAGAAGGAAGAGGAAATCCCACATATGTGTGAATAAATTACTGTGAGAGAGAAATCACTTGTTAGCATCCTTAGGAGATTACCAAACTAATCCCAGAAGGCCGTCTGGTGAAAGGTTAGCCGTCACATACAAGCATTTGAGCTTTAGTGCTGGCTGTAAACGTCTTCTGATCATGACAGAATGTTTTTATTTGGGCCATACTCAAGGCAGAAATTTGTCATAATTTTTAATGATGATGGTGCAGTCTTTGAAATGGTGGGTCTGTGGTGTTATTACTCAATATCTATGTAGCAGACATTAAAAGTTACTATTTATTGAACAGCAATGTCAATCCATAGCAAGTTAATTTATGGAATGTAAATGAGAGAATTTTTTTATTATTTTTAACTAGCATTTTACTTGCATATTCTCAGGTGGTAGGTTAATTTGGAATTAGAACTGTTGATAAAATTGAGGTGATGGAATGAGATAGTTATTTGCACATCTTTGCTTTGGATTCTAATAGGTGTTGGACATAGGAGATAGTTTGACTGTTCCAGATGAGTTCACGGAGGAAGAGAAGAAGACTGGACAGTGGTGGAAACAGCTGTTGGCAGGAGGAGTTGCTGGTGCTGTCTCCCGAACAGGTACAGCACCGTTAGATCGCCTTAAAGTGATGATGCAGGTAGGTGCAGTGTTTAAGAACTTTTTAGTTTCCAGTGTATCACTTCAGTTTTTAGAGAGTTGTTATGGAAAACTGATGGCCAAATACAATATCTAAATTCTGGAGGTCTACTTATGTTTTGACAATTTCCATATTTTGAGTTCATAAAAATTCTCATTTCCATAGTCATATTGGCAAAAATTTAAACAAAATACTATAGAACTTGTGCCACTAAAATAAGATTATTTTTTTTTCCATAGTGGATGTGTTTTTGCTGGCTGATATATTTAGCAATACTTGGGTGATGGGTTTTACAATCTAATCAGAGCAGCGTTCTTTACTGTGACTTTGGTTTTTTGGCTTTTTTTGTTTTTGTTTTTGTTTTTTTTTTAGGTTCATGGTTCAAAATCAAACAAAATGAATATAGCCAGTGGTTTTAAGCAAATGTTGAAAGAAGGTGGTGTCCGATCTCTCTGGAGAGGAAATGGTGTAAATGTTGTCAAAATAGCTCCTGAAACAGCTATTAAGTTCTGGGCTTATGAACAGGTAGGATGATAAATCAGGAATGAAAATAATGGTAAATAAAATACTATATCACTTGCACTGTTCATTATTTGCACTTTTTGTATTATGTAGGAGTTTTTATCATGGTTGGGTTTTTTTTTCACAGTAATTTAGAGTGATTTTCAGCTTTAAAACAGTCTATTTATTCTGTTAATAGAATACTTGGCATTAGGCAGATCTTGCTGTTGTATTATAAGCAGTGTAAATAAACTAAATCTGTCGTTTGTTTTAAACTGTCCTCCAGTCTGCATAGCTTCATATGGAGTACTGTGTTAATACCTAGTTTGTTGCTTTGAAGTGACAACAACCAAAAACATAGCAGATCGTGCTAGCTGAACTTACACAGGATTCTTTATAAGTCAAGTATCACAGTGCTATGTAAGGTGCCCTCAGCCTGGATTTCAGAGTTATATTTACCTCTGAATCAGCTTTAAGGGGCATTTTAAGGCCTAATCCTCCTTTGGAAAATGAGCTCCAGTTCTGGTGTAGTTAAATGATCTTGCTAGTGCCTCAAGTTAGACTAAATGAACATCTTGCACATCTCTGTACAAGTATGAAATAAAAGCAACAAGAAGTCAAGTTAACTTTGGGATATCGCAACACTGAATAGCAGATTTTGATGCCACAAAGTAACTTAGGGCATGTTATTCCTTACTCTTGCTCTGCCTTTCGGGAGCTGATGGCGCTTTCGGGAGCTGATGGCACGTTCTTGCATGATGGTGTCTCTGCCTTAACGAAACAGCATGCACAGCTCTCTGTGTCTCTGCGAACGTGCTGGTTGTTCTTTCATGCTTTGGTGACTGGATCTGTAAGGGAGTTGGGTGGTTCTTTGTTATCCGGGGGCCACAGTGTGGGTACCCTTGCATTGGCTGTTCGTAGAATACCTGACAGTACTGTGGGTGGCTGAGGTGTTTAATGTAAAGGATTCTTGCAGGCTGCAATATTTATTGTATACTTGAGAATCTTTGTCCACAGAGTTGCAGTGAGTATTGTGCTAAATTTGTTTGGTTAGTAAATGTAACTGTAAATGCATGAAAAAGTAAGCACAGCCTGAAAAGACTGTACTCCTGCCTCTCATAGTTACTCTTGCTGCTCCTAAAAAGCATGCAATGTTTATTTTATGTGTTTCAACCATACAGTATAAGAAGATACTCACTAAGGATGATGGAAAGTTAGGCACTGTGGAAAGATTTGTATCTGGTTCTTTGGCTGGAGCAACAGCACAAACTTCTATTTATCCCATGGAGGTAAGTAAAGAGAGTCTGCTTCCATTGGGGAGTGCCAAATGTCTGGTTCATTTCCAAAGTGAAATCCATTTTGCTTCTGAAAGTATTGTAGGAATTCCTCTATATTCCTATATCCTAATTTATTTTTACTTTGGACTTTCTTTTAGGATTTCAGTACTAGGCATTTTAGAATATGCTATGTTCTAATTGATAATTGTAATTTTTCTTTGTATTTGGCTGTATAATATTGTCTAAAGCAATGTTTAAATAAAACCTAGTTCAGGGCAAAAAATCCAGGAGCGCATTTAAAATTAAGTACATACTTAAGCTATTTTCTAAATTGGGAATAAATCTTCTTCCTTACTGTATGTAAGCAAGGAACGGTCTTGTCTGTAGTGGCACCGATGTTCTGTTGCATTATGGTTGGGAGCTGGGTCTGATTAGGGATCAGTGTGGCGGAAGAAAGTAACAACTACAGTCGAGGCTGGGTGGATTAACCGCTCTCTCCTCTGTAGGACATACTTGTCTGTGGTACTGCATATGTTGCAATTCAAGTAGCTATTTCACATCCCACTTTTTTTTTAAATAGAAATGGGATGTACTTCCTTTACTGCTGGTTCCCCAGGAAGTTTATCTTGTACAAATAACTGCAATATATGTTGGGTCTGGGATTAAACCAACACCAACATCGAGATTTGGAAGTAATGGAAAATGTAACCTAAATACCTTTTTCATAAGGAGGGTTGTCAGTAGGAATAGAACTTGGCTGTTTTCATTGCTGACAGTGATAATGTTCTGTTTTTAAATAGCATCCTTGCTGTTGGAGCTGCTGAATCACAGCTAGCCTGAGTACAGAGATGAGTTAAGATATAGAGTAACTGGAATGTTGTGTAGATCATCTGGTTGTACTGATCGATGGAGACAGGTGAACTATTCTGCAATAAGACGCTCTGATCTTCCTAACAAAGATATAATACTATCCTAGCAGTGGGTTTTAGGGTGTTGCTAAGTAAAAGAGAAAAGCAAAGTGCCAGGAAACTCCTGAGGAAGCTGCAGTCTTAGGAGGCTTTCAAGTAGGCCAAATTCTTGCTCAGGAAATTACCTCTGTGGTTTCTTTTGGATACTGTTATTAATTTCTTTGTCCTAAGATGTTGTATAGACTTATTTGCATTACTAATCAGATGCTGGGTTTCAGTAGTGAGACGCAATCTTTATATTCCTTAACTACCTCTCAAAGGGTCATGCTTTTTGAAAGATTATTTTCTTAATATGCTTTGCTGTTCCCAGATGAGCGTGATCTGCTGGTAGGTCAATGCTCTCACTTGTTCTTCAGCTAATGCTTCTATTAAATACTGCTCACACTGTTGCCTTCAAGGTGATCAAAAATCTGCCTGTTTTAATCAGGAAAAGAAAGCTAAAATGCAATTTAAAGGGCTAATAGTTTGTAAGCTAGTGTATGGTAGCATACGTGCTACTCTGCACTAATGGTAAAACCTGAAGAAGCCTACTGCTGACAGAGCCTTGACAGTAGTTATCACAAAGGAGGTCTGAAGTATCAAAATGCAAAGCAGTTCCAGACATTGAATAAGCAGAGGGGTACTGTGTTTTCCTGTGTTTATAGAATACATTAATAAATAGGTATGTCATTAAAGCTACTATTTTTTCCACTTTAGGTTTTAAAGACCAGATTGGCTGTGGGTAAAACAGGACAATATTCTGGGATGTTTGACTGTGCTAAGAAGATCTTAAAAAGAGAGGGTGTAAAGGCCTTCTACAAAGGCTATGTTCCCAATATTCTGGGTATAATTCCTTATGCTGGCATTGACCTTGCTGTTTATGAGGTGAGTTTAGATCACTGAATGCATGTAGCTTTCATTAGTTAATTTACAAAAGTGTAAGTATTCTTCAGAGTACCTGTATCATTACTTAGATTTGTAATACGCTTATAGTATTGCAGTTGCTTTCAATTTAAAATAGATAAATGAGAATTTCCACTAATCTTACTAGACCTTAATGTTTTTCTTTGTTCACTCCTCCTGGAAGAGTGCCTGTTGCCTTACATGCCATGGTACCAAACAAGAAATCTACTCATAAGGCAGGATTATATAGAACTTGGCAATACAACATGCTTGCATACTAAATAACCTTGTTGGACTGGAACATACCTGTTCTATAGCAAATATGGGCCTTAAAAACCTGGTATCATATTCATATTATGTTACCTATCCTCCATTTATGATACTTAATACATTTTTTTGCCATTTTCTCTGATTTGTAATTGGATTTTAGTAACCTGAATTCCTTGTGTATCTGTGCATGTCACCAGAATTCTTTGTAGCTGATATATAGTTGCTGTGAAGAGTATGAAACACGGCTTTCTTCTCTTTCAAGAGGAACTGGCACCTTTTACACCCATCAGCAACAATTAAAATGTTTTATCTACCTTAGATACTAGGTGTTGCTTCAAAGCGTGCTAAGTAACTGAGATGCACAGACTAGTTTTTTTCTTGTCTAGACAAATTTATTGTGATGCTGCAGTAGTAATCAGCAGAAATGCTTGTGCAAACGTTTTCAAAGCAGCATGGAAGTTCTTTTCTACAGTTTGCATCCTTGCTTCTGCATGCGATGATGCGCACAGCTGTGTGAGCTTTTGCTGAACCCTGTGGGGTCCTGAGGTGTGTTCCCCTCCTCCTCCCCCCCGCAAAGTATTAACAGGTCTAGAACATGGGCACTGTTGCTGCTGCTGGATCTTTTAAGGATTTCTCTAGGCACTGACTACTGTGGTCTGGTTCAAGTCCTTACCATGTGCTAAGGTGTTTACCTGTGCACGTTAAGCCTGTAGGACTGGTGTAGTGAGATTGGTGCTTTTCAGGATCGAGACTTCTTGTGAATAAAGATGTATTTGTTTACTTTCTTGAATGCAGATCTCTTGTCTTATTATTTAATTTTATACCTTGGCAGCTCTTAAAGAGTACATGGCTGGAACACTATGCATCAAGCTCTGCTAACCCAGGTGTTTTTGTATTGTTGGGATGTGGTACTGTTTCCAGCACATGTGGGCAGCTAGCCAGTTACCCTCTTGCCCTCATCAGAACACGCATGCAGGCTCAAGGTGAGTCCTGTTGTACTGAAAATGTTTCTATGTGCTCACATCAAAATTTTATCATTTGGAATAGCTGTAACAGAGACATGGGAAGAAAAAAAAAACCCAACTTAGAAAAGGACTCATCTGTAAAATTCCTCTTAATGTTGATGCTTTCTCCCTATTACCCCCAACATTGTTCTTCTTCACGCTTACTTCAAATGTAACATTTCCGACACAGTGCTCTGTGTGCTTTGGGAACCGTGTTCCACACAGGACTACTAGACACAGAGCTCCTGGCGTAGTCTGGGAGCACTTTCAGAAAAGTTAAAATGTTTCTTGAATTTTAGAGGTAAAGTGAAAAGGACTTGTATCATCCTGTAAAGGTAGACAGCAATGTGGAGGACACTTCATAAAGACAGTTTCATAGCTGAGACTTTTGCTTGATAGGTTTGTGTACAGACTAAGGATAGGAGCCTAGACTTCCAAAGGAATGTAGGTGGATAATGCTTTTCAGTGGGGTTTAGGCTTATGGGATATCTCTCAGATGTCTGGGATCTCCTCTCTGTGAGGACTGGGGTTTTAATCAGTGACCCTAGAGGTGATAGTAGGCTCACCATGCAGGTGTTTAATACTTGCTTAAGAATTTTAATATTACTACAACTGTTGTATAACACATTATCTTTCTGTTTTAGCCTCAGTGGAAGGAGCTCCGCAGCTAAACATGGTTGGTCTCTTCCAAAGAATTATTGCTGTAGAGGGAATCCGAGGACTTTATAGGGGCATAGCCCCTAATTTTATGAAGGTACTTCCGGCTGTCAGCATCAGCTATGTTGTATATGAAAAAATGAAGCAGAATTTGGGAATAGCGTGAAATGAAGGTGAAAGGTGAGATGCTTCTCATGTTGTTGGAAACACCAGAACAAAAATGATTTCTCGAGTAATCTGCTCTCACAATTAGAGACAGATCTTTGTGGAGAGATGCTGCAACTTCTACTTTTGCCCTAAAGTGGGAAGAAACTTTCTCAAATTCTAGTTCACCATTTCTAAACAGATACCTATATTGCACTTTAAAATGTCACTGAGGTTTTTTTAAAAGAAAGAAACTATCTTTAAATCAACAATATGTTTATATTTTCAGGAAATCAGGCATATTTTACTCTTTGGCTTTTTTTTTTTAAATTTGTTTTCTCCAAATGTGTATTTGGCGTGGATCAAACCAAAGGTAGGAGAAGTTTATACTACCTTGATACTGAATATATGAAAGTGACTTTTTGTTTTGTCACGCTGCCTATACTCAAGCAATTCACAGGCAATATTTTGCACACCTAGAAGCAAGCACTTACTGTTGTTGTTTTTGAAGACTTAATGTTGAGTTCATAAAAATATCATCTTAGATACAGACAACAATGGAGTAACACATTAAAATGTAGCCCATCACTTTTATCTTCAGGCTAACCTATATCTTGTTTTAATTTGAAGAGTAAGAGCCTGAAAAACTGCTGTTCCATGGTATTGGAATACCTCAAATGGATTTACATGGTATTTTTGTAATACAATCAGTGATTTTCATAACTTGCTTCACTGGACCTACTTTTCATTGCACTTGTAAATGCTAGCACCATTAGCCATGACAAGCTTTGGGTAACAGCTGCACGTTTTATAGGATCATAATATACAGGAACAGAAAAAGCTTGGTTACTAGATCCATTCCATACAAGTGCAAGTTACCATTTAAAAACGGGGTGGAGGGTCTAGTGTTAAGCAGGTAGTGATTGTAATACAGCCAATAGCAGAGCTCATCATAGCTGCCTTGGGGAGAGAAATGCTTCTCATTTTGGACTCTCCATTCTTTCCCTTACTCAGAGGGCTACAGTCCACTATGTGCTTTTAGCCAATGGAGGATTGCATTATTATGCAAGGGTTTTGCAGGTTTGTCATGCAAGATAAATCCTCTGTCCCTCAGTCTTCTGTGTATGCTGGCTGCATGTGTGAAATTCAGAGTAAACTACTGAGTTTTGTCCAAGTGACCAAATGGGACTGCTGATCTCAGGTGCCCATCAGATTGATGTTAATGAAGCAAGCAAAGCACACGCACATAACTTGGTGCTTGAGGAGCAGCTCCTCCTCAAAACACAAAGCAGCACTTCCTCTATGTAGAAAGTAGGTATTTCCACGAACAAGTACTTCCAAAGTGACTTCCTTTTTTTTGGGGGGCGGGGGAGGTGGTGCTGCATTTCCATTGCCTTCAGACCCGAACACTGAAATAGAGTAACAATTACTGCCAAACTCATTTGTTACTCTTTTTCTACTTTTGGCAATGTGTGGTGTCTCAATAGTTGTAAATTCAGGATTATGTTTATACTTCTCCTGACCTTCTAAAAGCAACTGCTCTTAGACAGCTTCCTGAAATTGGATTACTGAAGGAAGAACTTTGTTCCTGTAAGGTCATTAAGGGAGTCTTTTTTTTTTTTTTTTTTTTTTTTTTTTTTTTTTTTTTTTTTTTTTAAAAAAAAAAACAAAAAACAAACCCCAAACAAATAAACAAGAATAACTGCCTGAACCTCCCTTGTTCCACATACAGAAGACTATTTGGGCCATATTTTTCACACAGCAATCAGATGTAAAATCTGTGTTCAGTGCTTCCATGGCTGGTGTTTATTCTTTATAAACTGATATATAACAACTCCATAAAATTGGTATTATAAAACATTGTTTTATCAGATATCAGAAAACGGCAGCTTTAGCTGTGTCTTCTGGCCTTCCCTTTAGGGAAACCTTGGACTTTGCACTTTTTAAAACAAATAAAAATTAATTCTATCAGAATCATCCATCTGTACAATGCCTTTCTGAACGTTTCTTGCTTTTGCCAACATTCTTTTGTCTGTGGGATATGCGAGGTGAGTTCCCAATCATTTTGTTTGACTGTGACCAGTGAGCAAATACATTGTGCGTGTGATTCAGAGATGACTTTAGCAGTGTCTGTCTTCTAGTCCTCCTCTATTTTGTTCATAGTGTGCAAGTGCTATTATGAGTATTGAAAATTATGGTGATGATGTTTTTAAATGTTGAAAAGATGGGGTCTTTCAAATTGAATTTTTCATTATGTGCCTTTATGATTACTGTATTCAATTGTGTATTCTTTGTCTCTTAAACATATGCTTACCTTTTTAGCTCTATAAAACTGCCAGTTCCTAATAAATGTTGGTTTCCTTATCTGTCTGGAGTGTGCTGATGTGTTTTTCATGGCCTGATAGAGAAATGACACTTCTTTATTGCACTATATGCATAATACTCAATGTAAAATATGAAGCTAATTTACCTAAAAATAAGTTTGAGACTAGCCTATGCTTTGCTATTACATTGATATTTGAAAACCTGGTTTGAGATTAGTTGATTGTCATCCTCTTTAAGACTCTAGCTGTCTCATTGCTTAGTGGAAGATCACATAAGGTTTAATATTTTTGCTTGTTCTTTGAGCACTATTGCACCATGATTTGCTTCTGTGTATTCTGCGTGACAGAACGCTTAATAATAAGAACAAATATACTTGCTTGTGTTTTTAAAATGTTTCTCTTGCTTTGATCTTTTTTGTTCTTACTTGTTAGTCAAAGGATCAATATAAAATCTTTTCAAGGTACTAGACAATTTCCCCTGCATGTGTAGCATGGCTATCCTACTAAAAGCATGCTTAGTAGTAGCCAGCTTTGACAACTCCTTAGGAATTTTTCACACCAATGCTTCAAATGTTGGAGAGAATTGTAAACAAATTAGGGAGGCTTTTCTTGTCTTTGACTTCCTGTAAATACAGTTCTTGTAATGTAAGATTCAGAAGTTTTCTTTTAAATCATGGAAGAGGTAGATGCTTGGTGTGTGATTCCTATCGAAGTGGACAATCTGATGTTCAAATCTACTCGAGGCAAGGATGCTTTTAACTGGAAATTCTCTGCAATTGGCAAGGCTGGGCTGTGAATGTCTCTCACAGTGATGAAGTGGTAAAGTGTGATCTTAAAGATGTCTGAGCGAGATGGTCCCCCCATCCCCTCCAAAAAGAAAATCTAAACTGCTACAAAAATGTAGCATGGGTATTTAAAGTACTGCTTTCAAGTTAGCTTTCTGCAGTCTTTTAATCAAGGACTGGTCCTGGTAAGATGCTTTTTTGATGCATGGGAGTTAGTACACAGGTAGCATGTATGGTGTTTGGCTTTTGGAACTGCTCAGATCTGCAAGGCGTGTAGTACCATTATTTCTAAGTGCTTGCAACTACATGCAGCTTGTCTTAACACTGAGGCAGCAAAACCCCATGGGCAGGCAGTCTGTCTAGGGCAGCATACTTCTCTCCCTTATAAAAATGGTTTTACTGTCATTTTAAAGTGTGTGTGTTGGCCAAGGGAAGCAGAATGCTAAGTGAGTATCTCAACTGTTTGTTTGTTCAAGCTTGTTCCTTTGGTTTCTAGTGTATTCCACTAATGTATTTTCATAATCTGTTGAAATAGTGTGTTGCCATAATGCATTCTGAGCGCTTAAATTAGAGGTGACAAATTTGTAGGTTGCTGGCTTTCATCCCTTGTCTTAAAGTGTTTAGTCTGAAACTTGCTAAATTCTGCAGTCCAGAAAAATCTTTCACGTTTCCTCTGTATCCTATATTTTGCTAGGTTTTTAATATTTTTCAAAATGTAGTGCCTGTAGATCATATGGAAAATATTGCCATACAACTCACTACTGCCTCTTCAGTTAAACTGAGGCACAAAGAGGATGTAAATCATGTAGTGGAATCAGTAAGCTAATAAGAGGTTCAGGAACTGTGCATCCACATCCAAGCTGATCCCTAACCCCTCTTAGCTTTTCTGGGGTGTTCCCTGAGCAAATGATTCTTCCTGTGCACAGGCCTATATGTAACAGGCCCAGCAGGGAAAGGAAAAGCTTTATTTGTTTTCCCTTAGAATCATAGAATCATAGAATCGCTTTGGTTGGAAAAGACCTTTAAGATCATCGAGTCCAACCTTTAACCTAACCCTGCCCTGGCGCAGCTTCAAACCATTCCCCCTCGTCCTATCATCTGTTACCAGAGAGAAGAGGCCTTCAAGATCTGTGTGGGGTGACTGCTATTTGGTAGCTTCAACACTAGAAAACACTGCAGATATGGCTTGGAATTTAAAATGGGGCTACCGGTGTGTGTCCTCCCCTCCCGACTGTGGTGGGCGTCCTGGCAGGACACGCCTCTAGCAGCAGTGGCATTCCTCCCAGTGGCACCAGCCCAGGCCCTGGCTGTCTTGCACACTGGCTAGTGGAAATGCCATGGTGAACACTCTGTACTGAAACCCACTTGGCAGGTTTCCTTTCTGCAAAAGAACACTGGGTGCTGGTGTGTTACCTAGGTGAGGCTGGGCACGGACCTGCCTGATGCCCAAATTAGCCTTCTGAGGCCCAGGCTGAGGTAGCTTCTGTTCTTTACTCTCTCATTTCAAACCTCTGAGCTAGCTGCACTTGCTGGTATGCAGCAGAACTTACTGGCACCTTTTCGTTCCCTTCTTGCCTTACCTTCCCTAGCCTTCAAGTATTAGAAGTGCGTTGCAGTATGGATGTGGCTACACATAGACTACTAAAGTATCAAGGATGTCTTAACCTGCAGGCTGTTTGCCATGTAAGGAGGTGTGGGTTTTAAATGCTTCCCCTTCTGATGTCTGAGTGGTCTTGGGGATGGCTTTTAAGGCTTACATTACAACAAGATACTGATCTGAACTGTATGTTGTGGAGAACATAATTGGTGAGAACTGGATATTCAACACAAAGCGTGATTTTGGTATATTGGCAGTCTTGCAGGGTGAATTATGTCTAGCTTTTAAGCCCTCCTGGTGTCTGAAAATGTGTAGAAAACTATTTCTTTTTTTGCCAATATTTGTGTAATTCGGGGTAAAAATTATTTCTGTTCTGGCAACTAACTAAATGCTTGAGTACTGTGCACCTAAACTCGTAGACTTCAAGTCTGTTTTGCTAAAGGGGTGACAAAGGAGTCCAGTATGTACTGTGTAGGTGTATAAAAAACTAATCCACCCCATAGTGTGTATACAGATACATACATATTCCTGTATATATATATACACATATAAACCCTTTTCTTCTCTGCACCAAGTTTGTGCATCTCCTTTGTGCTGGAGCAGCTTCCTGAACGTCCGTTTAATTGAACACACTTGAAGCAGTGAAACTGCTGTCCCTGCAGATCTTCACTCTGCAAGCTGGAAGTGTGAGATGGAGGAGGAGGAGACAGTAGGTTCTCTTAAATAACACGTCAGTAGTACTCAAAACAAAATCCAGAACGGTTTTGTCCCCTCTAGGCTCATGTAAAGCAGAATATCTGGTGTCCATCCCCCTGAAGTGGGTGTAGGCAAAAGACCATTAAGTTGGAAGGTGGGAGTATGGGGGATGAACTTCAGAATGAGTGCTCCTGCCATCTTAAACTAAGCCTTTTGCTAACATATTTGACCCTAGTTTAGCTCTTGCTGTAGTACTGATATGGAAGTGTGCTCGCTCTCTTTAAAGAAAATCATAGAATCGCAGAATGGTTTGGGTTGGAAGGGACCCCTAGAGGTCATCTAGTCCAACCCCCATATGTTTTTTAAATTGTTATTAGCTTGTGTCATGCATGAACCGGTCTCTCCCTGGTGAGCCTTAACAGCCCCTGTATTTGACTGTGTTTGGAGGACATGTGCATATTCAGACTGAATTCGAGCAGTGCCATCTACTGTCAGGTTGTAGTACTGATTTGTAAGGGGGAACGGCTTTTTTAGACTGACCATTTGAGTTCATTCCTCGGAGTTGTCTTTACAGCAAAGGGAAAACAGTTTATAACGGTGCAGAATAAGCCCATCTGAGACACATTTTTGGTGGTGATCGCGGCAGAGTGACCTAACACAACCTGTGGGAGCAATGCACTCGGGTGTGAATTACAGCTCTGCTTTGGGTAAGGTATTGAAAGAATCTGCACCACCTATCAATTGACATGGCTAGTTTTACCTTTAATGAGGGCCATTTGAAATGGAAGGTAGAGTCTCCAGAAGGTTATTTCCTTTTTGCGTTCAGAAAATGATTTTTGTGTGTCAGCACCATTTAGTTTTGCAGTACGATATGCTAGCGTGCAGGATAAAGGTTCTTTAACCATTGCTTACTGGCATATTACTGAAAAAAGGTTGGTGTGAAACTTAGCATTTTTACTCCTCAAAACAATCAGCTATTCTGTATTTCAGTATTTCCTAATCATGCTGGTATCCAGGTCTGCACCGAGCACGCCATGTTTGTGTTTCGCAACGTTAAGGCACCATCTAACTGCATGCAGGTAGAATGTTTCTCACGATGGCTCACTAAATGTTACAGACTTCCCCGCTACATCATGGTGCCACCGCTGATGTGTCTTGTGGACACAGGGACACAGTTGCTACACACTTCAAAGCTAAGCCCGTCTGGACGTAGACCAGCTAGCTCCAGCACT